ATTTCTTTCAATGCTATCAATATAGATTAATGCTTTTTGTGGACAAGTCGAGATATTCCCCTGGCTCAGTGATATTTTATTGTATATACTTTGACATGAATGGAATCAAAATTGTCGGATTAATACCATACTGGATTCATGATTAAACAATTAGTGTTTTTGCTTAATGAGCAACGATTATGTTATCACTGATGATGTGAGCCGATCTGATGCAGAATCTTGTCGACTATGGTCGTTCTTACCCGATTCCCTCTCAATAAACCTCACAGCATTATAATCATTTCACTCTCCTTCGTTTAATTAGTTTCACTTTTATCATTCAAATCTAACTTTAATCATTGATAGCCTCGCCCGAGTCTCCTGAACCGCCAACAAAAAAGATCCGTCCATCGTTCTCAGTTTATCAAGTGGAAACGCTCAAGTCAGTGTTTACTCACAAGCATTACCTTGGAAAAGGAGAACGGAAACAATTAGCCGCTGATCTGAACATGACCGACGAACAAGTCAAGACGTGGTTTCAGAACAAGAGAACCAAACTAAAGAAAAAGATGTCAAGAATCGATGACAGCTATTCTACGATACTTTGCGCAAACGAGCTTAGTTACCATGGTTACCCTGGTCATGAATACCCAGGCCTTCGCAGAACTATTGATGGCAGACTTTCTTACTAGTTAAATTGTTAAGCATATGAATAATATTGTATAATACTTGTATATAATGTATATTCTAGAAGTTATTAGTCTGTTTGAAACTTCCATCAAATAAAATGTTTCAAGTGCTTTTGCCTTCTTTTTGTTTTACATTTAATTATGGGATACGAATGTCACATTACTTTACACAATTTTCTACTGAAAGTCGTAGAGATATTTGGTGAATCGGCGTTATGTTTATTCATCTCGTAAATTCGATATTCCCAAAACATCATTTTTCAATGGCATAAGAAGTGGGTATTGACTGATAAGATTTCCCACGATTCTTGTAAACACTACAGCAAAGCAGAGTATTTCCGAAAGCAGCAGTCGTATTGAGGAGAACCATAAATAAAACTTTTATAGTATAAATTGTAACTGAAGTGTTTGTCTCAAAAGCTGTTTGATCATTTGTAGTGTGATTCTGCATTGTGGAAACAACAAGAAAAAACTGATAACTAACTATGATTAAAGAGGGAACGTCTCTTTAACTACCCTATCATGTAATTGTCATATAATGTTAATTTAAGACCTATACATCGCTGAAGTTGCAGGTTGTAATTGCCTTTTGTTGCCTTTGGGCATGCAGGTGCACCTTATATGCAAACTCTTTTCACACCATCAAACATATTTCAATTCGCTAGCTAAGAAGTAATAGATTTTATCACTTCATGGTGAAACTAAGGTAAATAAAGACAAAGTACACGGACGTGTACAACATTACAAGGATTAACAACTATAGAAAACCTCTTGATTAACACGATTCCAATTTGATGTCATTTTACATAACTTCCATCATCTGTAGTTCTATTATTATTAGTTTGAAGCTAAGTTTTGTTTAGGATAGTTAGTTTTTTCCATGAAACAAAAAGCAAAAATAAAGTCATAAAACAAGCCATCCTTCCTCTTAGCTGACACAATTTGAATATTAGTAATTCAAAGTGTGTGTCGTTCGATTATAGATATGTCACATATCAATGAAATTACACAAAATAACTTCTGCAGGTGTTATAACGTAAAGTAAAAACAACTATCGGTGTTTTATACATATACAAACTTATAGTATAAGGTTTTTGGAGTATACGGCTTTGCGTGGAACATTTCAAAAGACTAACTCTGATTTAAAAAAAGCAGTTATGCCATATTTTACTGCGTTTTAAAACAAAAAACGTCTGGATATTAGGCGTTCCTCGCAACTCTTAGTGTGACGCGCGTTTTTAACACGTGCGCGGGCTTTTTTGGCGGGAAAAGACAAAAGAATCAAACAGTAAGCTATTATAGTTTATTGCAATGTTCGTCGGCTCGACTGTATAATAGGCATGCAGTTAGCGGAATAAGTATTTAGAATACGAACACTAAAACCACGAAAATCTTTAATAAATGGGAATGAACTGGTGCATTTATGCTGATTGTGCAAAACTATTTCGAGGGTTTTAGCCTTGCGCTTCCCTGGAAAATGAGAAGTATGTAAAGCGGCGCAGAACAATAGCAAAGTTACTGACAACTTTAACAATGCATCGTTCTCCTTATAAGTAATTTAAACACAAAGCATTAAAAGCTTTTCCATTTCCCGCCAGTTCAACTCGCCGCGAGCTTTTGAATTTCCCGCCACAACAATCTTTGCGTCGGTCCTCGTTAGATATGTTAATTGCCTACAATAAATACAAGCTGTTAAATCTAATGATGCATTAGTCCTGTTTAACACGTCTACTATCAACATGTCTGCATTGCTACAACACAAAACGTCTTTCTTGATGGATGATCTTCTACGAGATGTACATGACAACAACATGATATTAAAGTTGTCAGTAACTTTGCTATTGTTCTGCGCCACTTTACATACTTCTCATTTTCCAGGGAAGCGCAAGGTTAAAAGCCTCGAAATAGTTTTGCACAATCAGCATAAATGCACCAGTTCATTCCCATTTATTAAAGATTTTCGTGGTTTTAGTGTTCGTATTCTAAATACTTACTCCGCTAACTGCATGCCTATTATACAGTCGAGCCGACGAACATTGCAATAAACTATAATAGCTTACTGTTTGATTCTTTTGTCTTTTCCCGCCAAAAAAGCCCGCGCACGTGTTAAAAACGCGCGTCACACTAAGAGTTGCGAGGAACGCCTAATATCCAGACGTTTTTTGTTTTAAAACGCAGTAAAATATGGCATAACTGCTTTTTTTAAATCAGAGTTAGTCTTTTGAAATGTTCCACGCAAAGCCGTATACTCCAAAAACCTTATACTATAAGTTTGTATATGTATAAAACACCGATAGTTGTTTTTACTTTACGTTATAACACCTGCAGAAGTTATTTTGTGTAATTTCATTGATATGTGACATATCTATAATCGAACGACACACACTTTGAATTACTAATATTCAAATTGTGTCAGCTAAGAGGAAGGATGGCTTGTTTTATGACTTTATTTTTGCTTTTTGTTTCATGGAAAAAACTAACTATCCTAAACAAAACTTAGCTTCAAACTAATAATAATAGAACTACAGATGATGGAAGTTATGTAAAATGACATCAAATTGGAATCGTGTTAATCAAGAGGTTTTCTATAGTTGTTAATCCTTGTAATGTTGTACACGTCCGTGTACTTTGTCTTTATTTACCTTAGTTTCACCATGAAGTGATAAAATCTATTACTTCTTAGCTAGCGAATTGAAATATGTTTGATGGTGTGAAAAGAGTTTGCATATAAGGTGCACCTGCATGCCCAAAGGCAACAAAAGGCAATTACAACCTGCAACTTCAGCGATGTATAGGTCTTAAATTAACATTATATGACAATTACATGATAGGGTAGTTAAAGAGACGTTCCCTCTTTAATCATAGTTAGTTATCAGTTTTTTCTTGTTGTTTCCACAATGCAGAATCACACTACAAATGATCAAACAGCTTTTGAGACAAACACTTCAGTTACAATTTATACTATAAAAGTTTTATTTATGGTTCTCCTCAATACGACTGCTGCTTTCGGAAATACTCTGCTTTGCTGTAGTGTTTACAAGAATCGTGGGAAATCTTATCAGTCAATACCCACTTCTTATGCCATTGAAAAATGATGTTTTGGGAATATCGAATTTACGAGATGAATAAACATAACGCCGATTCACCAAATATCTCTACGACTTTCAGTAGAAAATTGTGTAAAGTAATGTGACATTCGTATCCCATAATTAAATGTAAAACAAAAAGAAGGCAAAAGCACTTGAAACATTTTATTTGATGGAAGTTTCAAACAGACTAATAACTTCTAGAATATACATTATATACAAGTATTATACAATATTATTCATATGCTTAACAATTTAACTAGTAAGAAAGTCTGCCATCAATAGTTCTGCGAAGGCCTGGGTATTCATGACCAGGGTAACCATGGTAACTAAGCTCGTTTGCGCAAAGTATCGTAGAATAGCTGTCATCGATTCTTGACATCTTTTTCTTTAGTTTGGTTCTCTTGTTCTGAAACCACGTCTTGACTTGTTCGTCGGTCATGTTCAGATCAGCGGCTAATTGTTTCCGTTCTCCTTTTCCAAGGTAATGCTTGTGAGTAAACACTGACTTGAGCGTTTCCACTTGATAAACTGAGAACGATGGACGGATCTTTTTTGTTGGCGGTTCAGGAGACTCGGGCGAGGCTATCAATGATTAAAGTTAGATTTGAATGATAAAAGTGAAACTAATTAAACGAAGGAGAGTGAAATGATTATAATGCTGTGAGGTTTATTGAGAGGGAATCGGGTAAGAACGACCATAGTCGACAAGATTCTGCATCAGATCGGCTCACATCATCAGTGATAACATAATCGTTGCTCATTAAGCAAAAACACTAATTGTTTAATCATGAATCCAGTATGGTATTAATCCGACAATTTTGATTCCATTCATGTCAAAGTATATACAATAAAATATCACTGAGCCAGGGGAATATCTCGACTTGTCCACAAAAAGCATTAATCTATATTGATAGCATTGAAAGAAAT